TGCATAACAGTCCTTATTTAGTGGTGTATAGTAAATTTGATGCCTTTAAAGTAGATACTTGTTTACTGCGGGTTGATTGCTATTTATGGCCCAGTACGGTTGTAGGTATATTTCAAAGTATTTCTTGAAGATATATTTTGTTGAGTAATGACGGAGCTCGAATACTAATAAGTAAAGTTATTTGAGTTAAACATAACACATCTAATCGGATATTGGGGATTACCATAAAGCAAGTGGAATGAAATCGGCGCTGGGCCGCACAGGGCGCCTCTATTTTAACACCTACAATCCGTGGGCGCGATTTACGACGGTTCCCCAACACTCGTAGGGATCGGCGGAGATAGATTTAAGTATCGCTTGTTGACGCTATGAATCGTTCCGAGGGATGGTCTGTTATGGTGAAAAAACTAAACTCTAAAATGTAACTTTACGAGCGACTATCAAAGAAAAGTGTGCTTACGCGCGTACCTACACGTCTACGACACGTATTGATAAAAAAGTGGCATTCTGAAAGCGCGGAAACATTGCAAGGTCATTCGAGGTTATCGGAGCTTTCTCGGAGACCGCGTCGGCCGCCGTACAATCAGTAACAGCTTCACACACGAGCACTCAATCGTATTGTATAATAAGGAAGTGTTTTGTTTGCATCCCACTTATTATTTTTGAGTAGTAAGTACAGACCAATACAATGCGTAATGGAACGCTGCTAAAATCGGTCGGTTCATTAACGGGCGGCATTCGAGGTGAATCTCGCTTTAGCCTTTTATTGCATTCTCGGTGTGTGCTTTGCAATGCACGCCGATAATGACAACATTTCTACTCGATGTGGTAGCGGACGAGGCGAGGCGATCAGAGCGGACGATCGCAATGAATGACGTGCGGGGAGCGGAGTGGAGGGAGCGGACCCGGCGCGAGCATGCGCGGCCACCCGCGCGCGCGCACCCGCACCGTGTGGTCTGCCCCTAGCCCCCGCTCCCCTGGCCTGGCCCTCTATGCAAATTAGCTTCAGCGTAGACAACAGAACAGATGGATGGCGGTATAAACAAACCGCGTCCTTTGCGGTCTGCTTGTGCGCGATCATCGAAGATATCAACGATCTATACGCATCAGCCAACATCAATTTACCCTGATTGTGGAATGGAAAATTTCTGAATCGATCAGAGTTTTGCTAATAATTATTGTTCTAACGAGTAGGTAAGTAGTAGTAAGAATAGATTTGCAATGAAATACAAGGTAACGGAAAGAAGATCTACATACGACTTCGGTCGGTGACCGACCGGTTTACAATAGGTTCCGCTTGTATTCATAAGATTTGAAACCTTATGGTATGGCATTCATGTAGGCACGAGTGAATCTTATAAGTATTATGTTACTGCTCCTTACCTGTAAAAGTTTGTATGTAACGAGGAACTAAGAGAAATATTAATCAGTCATCACACAAAAGTTGCAGCTAAGTTTGTTTCTAGACGTTTGGCGGTTGTAATACCACTGTACGGTATTTTCCTTGCCCATATTGAATGTCTCATATTATACACGGAGCAGGCAACATTGTCGCACACAATTCAGAATTCTCAGGAATCTTGAAGGGTTCAAATAACAAAAGGCCAGAGCGCGCCGCATCGCAGCACGACGTCCCACAAAAGCGGCGGACAATCAGATCCCTCGTTTTTTGTGACTCAATAGAAATGTTATACATTTTTTTAGTTTTATTGGTCGTAATTTCACGTAGGTTTATTTACGGGCGGCCGAGGGCCACCTAATTAAGTTGTTAGGGACTCCAGGACCTTCGGCGTTGTTTAACAGAGGCGGCTTTGTTCCACGATAAGGTTTTGTTGAGCTTTTGAATATATTTGTATTGTTTGGACAGTAGCTCAGAAGGGCTTAATCAAAATGGATAGTCTGATGCCTCAATTTATAAATGAATGGGTGGAACTGTGTATTTGGATATAATAAAAGAAAGATTGAATGCCGATTACGGGAAAATGTGGAAGATTTACTCTTCAATGTTCGGTTCTCTAACTTTATATTTTCTTGAAGTTTGTATCGACTTAGAATTTCCAAGTTTTTCTTTTTATTATCCAATGTTATTGCTGTGTGTGGGTAGTGATGGTGAATTGATTGAGAGGGCCTCGCGACTGGCAGCTGTGTCGATCGACAGGTGTTCAATAAAATCGCCCACTTCCTTTTTGAAGCGTCCGCTACGCAATTTTTTTTTGTTGTCTGATGCACTTTTTAGTACCTACTTTACCTAACTATCTAAATACTGCTCCGATTTTTAAATCATAAATTTAACCATGTTTTAAACTGTTTTGTATAACTAGATAAGTATGAGGTCTTACTTGCTGGACAGTATAGTCATTATTATTTATTGCCACAATATAAATAAATACACATTCCGTTTTTAAAAAAATACAACTGAATGACGAAAGGACGGACGCTTAGCATATTATAAGGTTCTATTGTTACTCTTAACGTGAGAGTAAGAAACCTTAAAAACTTTAAGACGTAACCTTTGTTGCTAAACGAAAAACTTTTGTCATAAGGAAACATCTGTTGCTATCAGAGTAAAAACTGCTAAAATTAATACTTATCTCGCATCTGACATTGACTTTCACTTTTAAGTTAGTACCATAGTTATATAACTTGATGGTAAGTACTTCGTCTGTACCCGTCAATGACGGATATCCTCTTAAAGTGATGGCGCTATTCCCCTATCCACGCTACTATCAAATTGTAACATACTAGAAATAAGCAAGCAACACGATGGATCTGATTCTGCCTTAATCATCTAAACCTAAAATTAAATTTGACAATAATAGTGTTTTTAATATTAATGGTTTTTATTTCCTTGATATGCTATAATATAATGGAAAAGGCGGGACTTATGAAAAGGTTAGGAAATCATTTCTGAATTGGGCCCAATATCATTATTAATAAGTTCGATCAATCAAACCATTCTAAGCATTTTCGTTCAAACAACATCATAGGAGGTTTTATTTTAGGATCATATTTAATTAATACGTCTGAATATTTTATATTAATACAAGAAAAAAAACCTTTTTAATGGACCACCCAGCTTTAAGACAGGCCCAAATAAAAGACGCACGTATTCTTTTATTTTCTCCTTTTTTACTTTGGCTTTTAAGGTCATTTCCTCGTGAATTACCAAGGGGAGTTCTTAACGATAGTAAAACGTGAATTAGTGGCCAAACAGGTTGTAAAATGGAATATTTACGGTACGAGAATAACGGGCTATATTCAAACAAACCCAGAAATTAGTTACGCTGAAGATATGGGTTTACTGCGTTTTTTTTCGTATATTTTAATCGTTATTTCTTGCGTAGGAGTAAATTATAAAGTTAAATTAGTAGAATTCATGATTGCAACGTTTAGAAAACATTGAAACCAACAGGAATTGAATAGCTGAATTGAATCTGAATTTTGTTATCGATCGATAAAATCTACCGATAAGAATAGAATTCCCATAAAAAAGTATTAAAACACTGATTTTATTGACGAAAAAATTACAAAACTGGAAACACATAACCACTTGTAGAGATTTTTATTACGTTTTAATAGCCATTTTCTGCGTTAAATATGTATGATAAATATTTTTTCTGCCGATTTTATATATAAATAATTCATTTTTATTATCATAATATTAATTCTAATAAACTAAAATATTTGAATTGTTCATGATTTTATTTGATGAGCGAAAATATTTTGAAGATTTAAGCTAAAAAATACTTAAGTGACTCAGAAGAATTCTCAGCTAATTAAACATATTCTTAAAGTATATTCAAAACGAGTTAATGATTTTTTATATTTATATTTTGTTCCTTCCAAGCTTCTTCAAACGACTTGAATGGACACTACCTTTTCTTTACATGGCGTTTTTAGAGTACCTATTAAAGCTATAATTTCTTTTACATTTTCGCAAAACTAGCGAATTGCAAGTCGAATAATCCTACTCAGCATTCAGAAGTTCAGAACACATAAACCTAACGTATTTCAGAATAATAGCTACCTATTCCGTTTTCACGTCACGACACACACTTGTATATGTATGCCCATACGATACGCAACAATGAGAGAATTTAAAAACAATTAAAAGAAATTAAACGCAAGTAACGAACCGGACGCAGCGGCCCGCAGGATCTTCGAGTACTGAATCAAAATTCATCGCTATTATAATCGAGTTTGTCGTTTAAGGGCGGCGACACGCGGCGCGCTTGTAGTCTGCGCGGGCATGCGTCGCACGTACGTTGGCGGAAGCGTCTCATGTGCCCTCGCGTGCATTTGTATTCTACGTTGTATGCCCCTGCGGCTATATCTTGATGCACTTTAGAGCTTTTTTTATATCCTGACCGACGACAGAGGGATATTTTCTAAGTTGTTTACTATGTTTACTGTTTGTTCATGTAAAATAAGGAAACCGGTATTTTTTATGTAGTACAGTACAGTAACATTTTATGAATGTTTAAAATGTTTTATCAAGCTTGGTAAATTGGCTAATTTTTGTACTCTAAAATTGTCTTTAGATAAAACAAGTTTTATTACAATAATATCCATCATTAACGGTATTTAAAATCCCTTTAATATAAGATCAGATGACTGCTATACCGGAGTAAATTATTTATAATCCTAAATGACCTAAATTTATGATTGAGATTCATTGCCTATTAGATACGGTGACTTTTTTTTTAAAAGTAGGTATTACCTATTAGGCGATAAAAAAATAACGCGCACTTGATGCCACTGAATTTTTTTCTATTATTTCATTGTTTTATATCATATAATATAAAACAATGAAAAACTATATTAAAAACTGCAGAATGTTTAAATTAAATGTGCAAACAAAATCAATATAATTATTTCGCAGCAGTCGCAATTGGCGCGTGCGACGTAGCGTCTTCATTTTAAAAATCGAACGCGCACAAAGAAAAACAGAAATAAAACAAAAACAATCCAAAGGAGGTCTGTCTGTCACCTACACTCACCTTGGACCCAGAGCTGGTCTACACGCGAGTGTATCTGCGCGGACTTGAGCCCCACGCAGAAGGTGGACAGCACCAGCACCGCGACGAAAAGCACCTTCCCCGCGTCACCCTGGAGGAAGCAGCCCAGCACGAACAACTGCTCCTGGAGCCACGCCCGGATCCACAGCGACGTGCGACCCCCTTCGATGTTGCCCTGAGGAATTCAATATTTCGTCAGTACCGTTATTTATTAGAAGGAAGTGTCAAAAATGGAAATGATGAAATCCTGCGACGTGTTGGCAAGAAACGCGAACTTTGGGATACCATCAGAGTGAGGAAGGTTGCGTATCTAGGGCACGTGCTGAGACACAAAAGGTACGCCCTTTTACAATTAATAATGATGGGCAAAGTTCCTGGAAAACGTTGCGTCGGTCGCAGGAAGATGTCTTGGTTGAAGAACCTACGAGAATGGACTGGAATCGAATGGAGACGTATGCTAAGCTGACTGCCAACCTGCGATGGTCGGAGAGGCACTAGAAGAAGAAGTTATTTATTATTATTTTACATTTTTGGGGCTATGCAATCCCAGTGGAATTCTTGACTACAGTACGACCTAAAAGATCTATCGTGACTCGCCACCGAGTTAAAGTATCTCTTTCAACCCGACAGCTTCCAAAAAGCTCAAAACATTCCTAGCTTTTAAGAGATTTGATTTCCTCTGGGCGTAATATTATGTTGTCCTAGATGAATACTTTGTGGAAGATGCCCACATTCACATAGAAGGTGTTTTGGTCTTACACGCTCTAGTAGATTCAGTCACTGATTGCAGAATCTGCAGATATCAGGGTCACTTAATTTCATATGAAATCAGTGTCTGTTGAGTTGAACAGCATCGCATGTTTTCATACATAGGTTAAAACTAAATTTATTTGAAAACATAGGAAAACTAGCGTATGAACCACCTGACTATAAGCGGCTTGTAAGGCCAAAAATAGCACTTGCGACGTTGTTTGCTCAAACATATTTTCCTACCCTGTGTGGACCTCTGTAACCTTACAAACGACCGAAATAGAACAGCAGCAAAAGGTATACTTATTTTTCTATGGTTTTCTATAATGTGAAGGTTACTCCCACAGATAGCGCTCTTATTCGCGGCAAGAATTCCGCTTTACAATGCTATACCAAAACTAGCTAAGTAGCGCTCCACTCAGGGTTGTCAATCAAATTCAATGCTTGTCTAAATAAGTATAATCATACTTATATTGCTATTTCAAGGAACTTTAGGCAGCTCAGTATATAAAAAACATATAATCTGTTTTTTACTCTTCTCTGAATCTGATTGACCATGTTAAATATTTCGTAGCCGACCTTAAAGTATTTTTAGAAATCATTTTTATAGGAAAAAGGTTTAGATGAATTAAAAATATATATATCAGAATTAATTCGTTGCGCTTTGTAAAGCTTAAATAAAATGCTATACTTATGCCCCTTTAATAGTAAACGCAGAATACGCTTAGATTTGTTTATGTTTTGTCTCTGTTCGTTCAATGATAAATGGCGTTTGAGTGACGTGAACAAAACACGGCATAACTAGTCTAATTTTTTTCCTTGTTTATTAATAAGGGGAATGTAGTTTCGAAAAGTGTTTTTTTTACTATTGCATAAAAAATATTTGGACTTTAATTTAATGATCAAACGAACTTACTCAAGTAACAAGTTCGATCTGTGCGATCACTCGTGCGTTCATAGTCATACATACCCAGTGTCAATCGTGCTTGATTGTTTTTGGTGGAATAAAGAAACGCATGATACAAACATTTATATAAACATGAACTCCGAAAACATTGAGCTTTTGGCAGTGGTAAAAAGAACACGTTCTTCAAAACATCAACAATGTTTATTCACTTTCGACGGCATTCCTCTGCTACTGTTAAAAAAGAGACGTGTCATCCCGACTGCCTCGCATGAATTGCGACCTTCTTTTATTATATGTCCAGTAGCATTTTACAACGCGCTGCGTCTCTCGCTTTGTTCTCATCCTTCCTGCAATCTTCGGGGGATCATAATAATTGAAGTTACCGAAACATCGAAATAATTTCTCAGTTGATTGTGATTAATGATGGCAAGAGTCCGGCGCACCCGTGGCGCCATCGCGGAGCTCGCCACGAGATGAGCCGACTGAGGTTCGATCGCTCGAATCTCGCCAAGTGATCACTAATTGCATAATAATAACTCAATCGGCATTCCGTGTTGAACGCAACGATTAAGCGATCAAAGTCTGTACTCCGTCCGCCCATAAGTATCAGTGCCGTGCCGATTTTTTTCTCTTTATTTTTTAGATTGGTGTGTTGTAAATGTTCTTCAATGTGTAATTGTCTTCAGTTTCACTAATTTCCTTTCTTACACACCTTTTTTTTATTGCTCTGCTATTGTGTTCAACTTTACGTGCGTCAAATTTCTTGTTACGATCTGCACCGGCATCATAACAAATCACTAGCGACTACCGCACTATACCGACTAACCACGAGAACGAAATGAGAACCTTACGACTGCAATTAAAACATCGTTAGCGACCTGAGCGAATTCCGAGGGGTTTATTTTCAACTGGTGTACTGGCGAACCACGCCTTCGTGCGATGAGTTAGTTCGCTGAACCATCTCGGTCGTTTCCCGCCGAAACAGTGATGTTTGGCTGAAGCATAAATAAATAGTCGTAGCAATAATAATGGCAGATACGGCGAGAGTCGTGGAACGGTCCGGGCGAGCGGGCGAGGTGAATGTCGGGCGCTCTGGGTGGGCGTGACGTCACGGCCGGAATGCGCCTGAGCCGCCCGCGCCCCTCCCCTTCCCGCCGGCCTGCCGCGCGCCCGCGGCCCACGTGTACCGTACGCGACACGCCACCACGCTGCACCAACCACCATCACGGCCTCTTCATTCAGATACCAAATGCGATACAAAATAACACTCCTTATGCAACCGTAAGCATCGCACCGCAACTGTCATTCGAGCCAACAGAATGCGGAAAGCTCGCGGGCTCGTGTGTAAACAGTTGACATGAGCACTGGATTAGTTGTTACACATCAGTGGCTCCTGCACTTCCTGTAGATAAGAGATTAGGATTTGAAAACATTCTCGCCCCTAGTATGTATATTAACTGTTTCAAATCTTTGCACTTTTTATTTAACTTGCTGTTGTTTCAGATCTCGAGTTCATTATTTATTTTGTAAATACATATTATATTACACATAAAACGGGAAATCAAAGTGTTTTTATAATTAACGCTTTTCTAATTCCACAGTAAATCGTGTTCTGTCTTGCAATTTTATGGTAAGTTTTTACTAAACAGCTTCCTTCCGATTCAAGATTTTCTCCAAAATTTCTTTTGACAAAAATAATGGTTCCACGATCAATATTAGTTATGTAGACGAATCTATTATATTTCGTTTTCTTCATCTCATTCATCAATCATCTTTTAATGTAACCTCAGCTAAGACCTCTGACATTCTGACATCCGACATTTTGACATCCGCAACAACGCAGAGAAGTCTACCACCACACCTATATCTGCATATAATAAGGCTGTGGGTGTTGGCACCACTATTATCCCATCAGAATTCATGAGGCATTCGACGAGACTAAGCCTTTGGCAGAAATGAGTCTTTGTAACAATGATTCGTTAGAAATTCATGGTACTTTGTTAGGTTCAATATTGCCGGAGTTTGCATAAAACAATGCGGCTTTAAACAAACAATGAGCTTGCTAGCGAATAAGATTCTTGTATTTTATAGAAATTTCAAGAATAAATGACTTTTACCTTGATCATCTACGTATTTATTACATCAATTTTATTTGCCTATAAGATCCAAATGTGCTCGATAAGAATTTCCCCAAACTTGTCAATAAACCAGCACCTTATTTCACGGTGACTTGTAACAGGTGAATTAACATTTAGTATACATTTCATCGATATCATAAACTGTATGCAAATACGACCGGCCATTCTTAAGTGCATCACGTTCTGCCCATTTGCCACCGAGCTGGCAAAGTCGTCGAATGTCAGTGACATTGTTCTTAAAGTAACTTTACGAGTTGAAGCATGTTCCAGCTAACAACTGTCCAATTAAACAATTTTACAGTTAATTAAGTTATGTAACCCATAACCTTCAGTCATATTTTGTTTTTTGATATTTTGATCAATGATTCAGACATCAAATATCTTGGATCATTAGAAACAATGTTGTTGTCTATTTGCAATTACTACTTTTTTATTTTTTACAGATTAGTATTTTTGAAATAGCAATTATGTAATGTTATGTTCATTGCATTGCTTTCAAATGTTTTATTAGATGCAATATTCATTACGTAGAAGTACGTTGTAATACGTTCATAAAATTTTCAATTACGATTACTATTTATTCCAGTGGTATTGTTTGGACCGGGATGGCATTTTTAGAAATATCTTTTTTAGCTTTACTTTCATATTTTATAATGATTTGCGGTAGCAAAGTATGTTAGATAAAGTAATATCTTGAGAAAGTTACTTTGATAGTAGACAACAGAACCGGTTTGGTCGGCCATATGATCGAAACTACTGGTGACGCACTAGGTTACTAGAATCCTTTAACGACGACTATAAATCCCAAGCAAACAGTGACAGATAGAGAAATGTTCTGACAATTTTATGGTTAACTTGCCGACAGCTATCCCTAAATCGATAAAGCGTTTGAATACAGTGAAATCGTAGATTCAAATAGAGCATTATATTGACTTTGTCATCATTTGCCTTAGCCATCTGTTAAACTGTCTACTTTAACGGAAGCTAAGGGTAATCATGAGGAAAAAATATAAAAAATGCAACGATGCGTGTATACGCCACGTGTTCTGACCAGTGGCCTGGTGACATGCTAAGCGCTACATGTAATCCTACACCAAAAGTATTACCAACCCTGCGGTTAACTAATAGCACACCCAATCAAGTACTGATATAAAAAGTTGGAGCCTCTTTGGCTCCAATTGAAATATCATCTTATAAGACATTATCTACATTATCTATCGTTCCAGCAGCACTAATGAATGCTGTAACATTCCATACGACTATTTTAACTGTTATCTCAAAATAACCAAGTTCCATATAAAAGCTGCACCTTTGAAAATCGTGGGTGTTATACAATCATTTATAGGTTTCCATCGCAGCTGCCGACCGCCGGCAAGCTCAATATTTGGACGAAGACGGGCTATAGTGGGAAAAACGAGTGCAAAAGAGATGAACTATAAAACTGGGAGAAAAGAAAAGAGTCTGCCCTTCTGTGAGATAGAATAGGATGCACGATCGGAAACCACAAGATGTCTCAATTCCACGAGACGAGCCCTGTGCGGTCCTACCAGACATAAAAATTTGTAGAATAAGACTCTTTTATTTCGTTTTGAATTCATTATGTAATCTAAATGATCGTAGAGTTTATGATTATCCAAGTTTATTAGGAATGATGATTATAAACGTTGATTTATTAAAATTAAAGATAAAGTGGGGCTTTTTTAAATAGTTGCACACATCAAAAAAGTATAGAGATTTCTCTGTCGAGTACAGACTTCACTGATGTAATTATACCCGTTAAGCTAATTCTTAACTTATACGTAGAAATTTAAATTAAAAGCCAAACTGGAAGGCTAGATGTGGTAAATATTTCCTACACACTTTAATATTTAAAAAAGTTGCAGGTAAAGCTTTTGATTTAATTTAAATGATGATTAGTAAAGTTTCATAAAACATTTTAATTAAAAAAATGCACAATGTTCTATTGCTATTCACAATAATTTTGTGAATAGCAATAGAACATTTAAGTTTGCTTATCTTTTATTTTATTCGAAAGTGATCTTAGGGTCATTTGTCTTGAAAAGTCTATTTATTATCTACATTTGGAAAGCCGTCATCAATAAGCCTGCTACAAGACTTAATCTAAATCGCATAATACATTAGCGAGATCTCGGGCCTGCTCTAATAGGCGCTCGGCGTTGATGTCTCTATCGGCGCCTGCGCGTGCGGCCCGCTGCGTCTTAATTGCTTCATCTCTCGTACGACCGACATAAGTTCCTGCATTATACTTAAGTATAAAACAGCTTATACGTTCACCTCGGACTACAGCTGTTTTTATGTTTTCTCTCTACACGTTCGGTCGGACGCCACATATTTGTGTTGTATCTTTAAGGGAGTTACAAAATTGATTATCATCGTCTTGGGTTCGCATAAAAAATAAAGTTAACCATTTAAAATTTGTTTTCTTCAAATAACGTTATTATAAAAATTTGCAGTTTAAAACACTGGCTCTAAAGAAAATTTCCAGAATATTTTGCAAATGGTCGCTGGGGGGTGTCTGCCTCCGCAAAGCGTGCGTGCGGGCTTCTAGGAAAGCGTTGCCTGTTCCGAACCCGTCCTAAGGCAGGTAGTAGGTAGTTATAGTACAACGCTTGAACAATTTCAAAGCTTTCTTTAATTGTATCTATCCTTATTTATAATGACAATTCTTTGGAAGGGTCTTCATGATCTCAAAAAAAAACTTTTACATCTAAGCAAAGAAGATTCATATTTACTTTATCCTTTAAAATATACATGTCATTGTGATCTTTAAAGAAAATGTTTACTAAGTACCTAACAGATAAAGAATTTACTTGATATTAACATGATCTTTATGATGTTTATTAATATGATCACTGCGTCGTTGGTGGTCAGGTACGTTCAAAAATAAAAATAAAAAGATTAATCGTTATAAAAATAATCATTGCTTGGCATTTTATTAAGTCATTATCGTATAAAGCTCTTGTTATGGTATAGTTGCGACCTATAATTAAGAATGAAATATGCGCGGCCTTGATAGTACGCACAATTACCGCTAGTTTGCGCCACTGTTCCTCGCTGCCGCGTTCCTCACTCGATGCGACTGACATTCGCAGAAAAACAATCACACGTGCAACATGACAATCGAAACTTGACACTGAAAATTGTGAAGCACTTCACCTTTTCGAGTTCTGAGAGCGCTAAAGCAGCATCCACCCAGCTGGTGCGGATGTAAAGGTCGGTGGTGTGGCGCGCTTCGGCGGCGGAGGGGCTCTCGCGCGCGGCACCCGCTATCCGAGGATTCGAAGGAGCCTCGGAATCGGGAGCCACCATGATCTCGGGGCCAGGCTTGTCACCAGTATCCTCATGAAGACGGCCGGAGTCCGTCTGGCGGCGCACGCTGTCATATCACTCGCCGCCACATAACCACACACTTGCACACCCGGATCCTTCACTTCTGTTTATCACTAAACCGCTCGAAACATGGAACGATCAAACGATGTCAATGTTATTAAAAACGAATTGTAACACCGTGTTCGCGTCTCGACACAAGCGCGACTCGAGCGACACTGGTTCAACGAGCACTGAACGCGTATACGGTATGGATGTTTGTGGAGCCGCCATCATGATTTGAACGGCTATGTTGCCGTTCTGGGACACGACGGAGGCCGAGGACCGGCGGCACAGCCCGACTTGATTTGCCACGGGACCACACACACGATGAGCCCGTCTCCTTCTTACGAATTGAGAGGAGCGAAGCCCGGCAAAATAAAAGCATTGAATGGAGCAATGATACCACGAGCGTGATCAAACTACTATACTATACTACACAATTATCAAAAACATACTCACTAATTGACAATTGGATAACCTTAGCTTCAGTGACTTACAAGTCACATTAGATAAGTATAAATACACCAAATTAACTAATAATTACTGTAGTTATGAGTAAATATACATGGTCAACATTCTCCATAGTTGAACCATTTATCATGGTAAAGTCATTCTAAAATTCATGCCCTGCTTTGCCACAAAAGTTTAAATTCTTAAGATCATCTGAAAGAGAGGGAAAAGAGAGCGTTTGCTAGCTAAACATTCACTCTGTACACAGATAATAAAGGCGGATCAAACATTCGGAGTTTCGGACGCACCATATCATTTTGTTTACAGAGTTTTCTGAGTAAAAAGTCGGTCGAGTGCGCCCCCGGCAGGGCGGCGGGCGCTGGCTGGCCCTTTGATGTTACCGACATAAAACGCCGCCGGCGGTGATTTAACTAATGAATTTATTTAGCGGGCGTGCGGAGTGAATGCCGCCGAGTCCTCGAAGCTACGCCAACGGGGGAAGCTAGAAAAACTACTCCTCAAATTATCGTACTCCATTAATTCCCCACTTTCTTAATATATGGTCCTTCGAGCTGGATAAAAATATATTACAGTACTAGTGGCCGCCCGCGACTTAGTCTAATTAACTTTCGTTTTTTGAATGCTACAGGAACCTAAAAAGATTCCGGGTTAAAAAGTATCCTATGTCTCAAACCAGATAATAAAGTATATGTGTGTCGAATTTGTTGTTTATGCTTGATTGATTACCAAACATATAAACACATAAACCTACAAACTTTCATATTTATAATATAACAGTAAGTATCACACCCTCATCATATTTTGTAAATATAAATCAGAGAGCATCGTTTTAATACATTATTTTAAAATGGCAGATTTTCTTAATTGATTTTTAACTTATATGTACAACAACAGTGAAAATTTTATTAGTGGTTTAAGTGTGATCACCTAATAATGTGCTATTATTTGTAAGCGCATTTATAGACATATCAAAGATTAATTAACATAGCCACTGCTAGCTATAACACGTAAAACGATAATCTACATAAGTAAGAAATACCACACAAGTACACATTTATATTGATCGCTTTCTTGGAATTTCCTCTGTAGATTCCAAGATTATGATGGGGATGCAAGTGTTAATGGCCAAATTGATGCGACAGATGTATATTTTGTTAACTATATCCTAGGGATTTTGCGAAAACACGGTTAGGAACTAGACAATAGCGATGACATTGCTAAATGTTCCTGTTTTGTATTTTTTTCTGGTCACAACACTCACGTAACGTAACCTAGTGTAAATCCAAGAGTTATAAAACTCAAGAACATTTATAATAAGCCAACGATTCTGTTCGCAATATGTATTACTGAGGCGACTCACGTTTTTGCAAAAATCATAACTTTCTTCAGTAAGACTGAGAAATGTCATAGCCACTGTCTAATATCCGCGTTTTCGCAAAATCCCTAGATCAATCATCCAATGTCATTATATAAATGTCGAAAAACACAAGATTTTTTTCACGATTGAGATATCTTATATTCAAGATTGGATCGACTGAATTTTTATTGTAGCGCGGTTCATATGTTTGCTGTGTTGTGCTTATTTCTGCTTTCTATTACAATAATACTTACTTCGCTTTAAGGAATCGGACGAGAATGATCAGTTAGCTAATAGGTCATACAACTTGTGTGACACAAGGCGACGTCAATTAAAAAAGACTAAGACAAGACACGTGCAACCGTTTTCTATTGTTATCATTCTCAAAAAGCGATAGTAATAACTTTAATCAAACATCAAATTTACTCGGTCTATTATATGACCATCACAATTTCTAAATATATTGTATATGATTAAACAGTTACAAAAACAGCCCGATAGAGTTTACACAATGTAATAAAAAGTAGAACTTATGAACTAAATCTATATGAAAAGTGTCTTTCCCTCTCTCATATTTCTAATGCATTGAAAAGCTTATCTTTTCTAAATCATTCGTACAAACGACTAAATAGAAATCCGATTATAAAACTAAAAATGAGCGTGTCGAACAATCGGATTATCATGTCAAGGCACACCTGACGACAACTCAAATCTCTGGCCTAACCTTCTGGGAATCATCATTGGAGGTGCAAACGTCCCTTTTCGCTCTATACTACCTAAAACCTACCAGTAGATTGATCGCACCATATTATGGGACCGCAGATAGGTACAGCAGTTCTCTTTACATTCAAATAAACACACTGCAATCTTATGATGCATAAAACAAAGGTGAAATTCTCTAAGCAATGTTTTCAACAACTGTTAAATAGCCCTGTCAGTATTGGGGTAGTTTAGACTGGACATTTTGACACTTCGGGCGAAAACGCAGCGGGACGTCCCTTTGTAAATCTTCTTAGAACCTCGCGTGAGGTACGGAATTGAGATCATACTGTAGGACTTATCAATTATAATGAAAATGTAACTCTTTGGGAAACTGAACCTTGTTTATAATATTGTACAAGTTATTGAACATTCACCGACGTTAGATATTCACAGATCTGATATGAGAAATTGACATTTCCATTAAGCAAACTTTAAAAATGTTTTGTAAACTTATATTCGATATATGTTTGGGGATATTTTAATTATAAGCGAGAAAAGTTTGAGAGAAGATTAGAAAATAGAGCGTGCAGATGAATTTTAACAATAACTTGAAGTTTTGGATCCTTTCGTCCCTTGGGTTGCATGAGCATAGATGTCGTTCTTTGCATTTAAGTTACTATATTTTTAAGATAAAAAAGATAAGATAAAATCTCTTTATTGCACAACACAGTAACAAAACAAGAAGATACAAAACAAGTAGAAAAATACAACATTGCACAAAGGGCGGTCTTATCGCTAATGAGCGATTTCTTCTAGACAATCCAAAATTACTTGATTTACTATTGTTTAACCATGATTATCTATATTAATACGCTAAGCAGGGGTTTCAACCGATATGATACGATCGCCTAGCTAACACATGTCGTTTTACGAACAAAAGCAAGACGCTGGGTTTCAAGGTATCGCCTATTCGAATCCTGGTGGGGGCCGATGTTTGTGTGATGAATACGAGCATAGGTACTCCAATCGTAAATGTTTAATACGTTTTTCCGTTACCCTATTATCCCATAACACAAGCCTACAGAGCTTATTTTGGGGCAAGGCATATTGGTGCGAGTGTTGAAAATATTTGTTTAAATTTAAAGATTTTCCTTTCGCGTTTTCTGAATGAGCTCAAAAGATTTTTCATGCAAGGAATTTATCATAATAATGTAGAGTAATGTAGGTCTTTACCAATGAAATTGCCGTTCTACCGTACTATTTTAAATCCATTTTTTTTGCTAAGAATTCTAAGTTCATTTTTTTTAATATGGAATTCTTTTTTGAAAATTAGTCATTTGTTTAAAAGTTAGGGTTCTGATTTCAGCTCATTTGTACGTTTTTCGTCATCATGGATATGTTAAAAATTCGAGTGATTATAACGTCGTGGCAGCAAAGTGGCAGAAGCGGCACGCAACATCAACGACGTATACGGAGTGAACACTACTAACGTTCGCACTAGCCGTTTTTGGTTTGTCCGTTTCCTTTTAGGAAATTTCGACGTAAGAAATAAACACTGTGGTCGACCGAAAATTTTAGTGGACAATGACGAATTAAAGGCGACAGGGGAAGCTGATCATTCTCAATCTACAGCTGAATTATCAGCAGCTTTCGATGTTAGCATCGTAATAATATTGGTCCATTTGGGCCAAATTGGCAAGGTAAGAAAGCTTGACATATGCCCCTCGAATTAAATGATCAGCAGCGCGAAGTACTCGTTGAGTTGAGCCTTGCACTGCTCAACAGGCATACAAACGAAGGCATATTGAATCGTATTGTTACTTGCGACAAAAAATAGATTCTGTTCAATAGTCGCAAGCACTCAGCATATTGGTTAGATTCAGCACCTAAACAATGCCCCAAACGAAAACTGACCCCTAAAAAGTGATGGACACTGTTTGGTGGTCCAGCACCGATGTTACTCACAACACGCGATCTCATACTGCACAGCAGACGGTGCCCAAGTTACAAGAGCTGGGGTTGGAAGTTGTCCGTTATCCACTGTACTCACCAGACCTTACCCCTACAGACTTCTACTTTTTCCAGGATTTGGAAAAATAATTAGCGGGGAAAATAATCCTTTCATTTTGACAGTCCCAGCATTAAACCATAAGGCCCCAAAATTTTAAATAGGGTTTAAATCAGCAGACCACAGCAGCAGAGATACCGAGTTCCATTATAGCGCCATAAAGTTAATCTTCCGATTTAGCTTGATGTAAAGGTTTGTCGTCGGTAAATATAGTATTCGACCAATCAAAATCGAGATGTTGTCGCGCAAAGTTAAGCCGGGTTGTTTTGTGGTGAGGTTTCAGCTCCACTTTGATAGCATGGTGTCTGTAGTGTAGTCCAGCACTATACAAAGCTTGTCGGATCGTCCGAGTAGTTGGTGTGAAACCGTTCTCTTCGTAACGACGAATCATTTCTGTTATTTGCGCGGCGGTTAGTATTGGTCGTCGTCCTGAATTATTTCTATGATCTGTTAATTGCCCTTCTTCGCCGTGACGCCGGATCTATAACCTCACAGATATAGCACTAATCTGTGTGAGCTGATAAAAGTGCTTGTTCATTTACAATTTTGCTAAGTTTATGTAAAGCATAGCTCGACTTGCTTAAATGTGCACAGACATGATCAACGAGCTCTTTCCAATTCATTTTGCTGTCAATATATAATCCTAAAAACATTGTGTAATCTATTCCTTCAATGTTATGTGTTAAGTAATTAATATATAATTTTTATAATTTTATTTCTGCAGTTTTTTATGTAAATATCATCATTTTAGTTTTGTTAAGATTATTTTTTAAATTATTACATTCAAGCCATTTCATGACTGAAGTCAATGTAGTATTAATATCACATTCTAGGTTTATAGTCTAAAATATAGTATAATGAAATAAAATAGTGCTGTCATCTGCAAATAGTGCCATGTGGTTAATCGTCATTTTTGGCAGGTCATTTATACATATAAAATGCAATGGTCCTAAAATACTACCCTGTGGTGGTGGGATAAATGCATTAAAATTTAGTCAAATAGTATATTTTTTTTCTCAATACTGTACTA